GGGTTGGGATGTTTTCTTGATGCACACTTAACCTTTATATAAAACTCTCTTATACATGAGTTTCAGTGGATTTGTTTCTCTAAAGTACCCAAACGAACACAGTGTTCTTTAGTTTTCCTTGTACAAATCTTTTGTTTTTTAAGTCAGGTATATCCCTAGATATTTTAATTTGTGCTTGGCTATTGTGAAGGTTACCACCTTTTTGATCCCCTCTTCTGTGGTCTTGTCCGATGTATATAGCAGTCCGATAGACTTCTGTTTGTTGATCTTGTATCCTGCTACTCTGACAGATTCCTCTATCACTTCCAGTACTCCTCTTGTGGAGCTTTTGGGATTTTCCAGGTCTCAAATCATATCATCTGAGAATAATGATATTTTCACCTCTTCCTACCCTAGGCAATACCTTTGAAGTCTTTTCTTTGCCTTATGCTGTTAGATAAGACCTCCAGTATGATGTTAAATAAGCGTGGGATCAAGGGGCATCCTTGTCTGGTCCCCTTTTTCAGTGGGATTGTTTTAATTTTTTCTCCACTGACTACCACATTGGGTGTTGGTTTTTCATATATAGCTTGTATTATATTGAGGAATTTTCCTTCCATGCCTATTTTCTTGAGTGTCTTAAACAGGAATTGGTGTTGGATGTCTATCAATATTATCATGTGGTTCGTGTAATTTTTCATGTCAATGTGGCAAATAATACTAAGGGTCTTATTAATTATTAACTGCCTGCAGCTAACTGCACTATGGGACTGGTCTACTGCTTTATCCTCCTGTGGCTTCCCTCTTTCCCTAGGCAACTAGTATTCTGATTTTGGAGGGCAAGTTGGATGGTACTTTCAGGGGATGCTGGTTGGGTGGTTGTGGACCCACGAGAATGGTGCTGCACTGGATCACCTCACAAGAAGCCGTGGTAGTGTGGCCTGTGGCAGCTTGCAGCACTGCAGAGGGTCTTTGGTGGGGGGGCTGTTGCAACGGGAGTGCTGCAGAAGGCAGGTGGGTGTGTCCACTTTGGTATAGAGCACTGTGAATGGTGGGCGGACTTGCCCTGGTCAGCTAGATTACCCCGGAGTTTGGAAAAAGGTTTCCTCGGCAGCGTGGAGCACTGGAGAGTGTTGGTAGAGCTGTTTTAGGCTGTGTGAGGCAGTGACAGGTGGGAGAAAGTTCCCTCAGTCATGTGGGACCACAGAGGACAGGAAGGAGCTCCCCCAGCCACGTGAGCAGAACTTCCACTGGAGGGAGGTGGGGTGGGATTTCCCCAGCTGCATGTTATGCTTCAGAGGGCAGGTGGGTGGGCAGGACTTCTCTAGATGTATGTTACGTGGTAGAGGGTGGAGCTCTTCCAGCAATGCCTATGTTGCCCTAGGCTAAGGGGAGTGTATGGGAGTTTGGCAGTGACCTGTGAGAGAAAAGGGAGGAGAAAAACAAAACAAAAACAAAACTGAGCCCGGTGAGCCTGTGTGGGGAAAGAGAGAGGCCAGAGAAACAAAATAATGATATAGCTGAGCCCTGATCGCGTGACTGTGGGGCGGGAGGGGTTTAAATCCTGCCCTGAGGCAGTGCCAAGCTGTGGCTGCATTGAGATAAAGTCCGTGGGCCAGTGGAAGGAGACTGGCTCTGGCCGAGATTGTGGCAGGGTGAAGGTTAGCCGGCCTCCACAGTGGTAAGCCAAAAGCCCACAGCTCCCCCAAACCCAGTGGATCTGTGATGCTCTTCCTGTGACCCGGAGGTGTGGAATTTCCCTCTTAGTGACTCTCCTGCGCTGATTTCTGCGGAGTCCCTCAGGTATGTGTTACTCAGTCACCATCTTGCTGGAAGTCCCCCATAATGTATATATTTTTAAGTGATGATATTTGTTAGCTCTTTTTGCGAATGCTTATTCTTGCAAACTTTTACTAAGAATTAAATGAGGATTTATATTTCAGATAATTCATTTTGTATTTAATATATGGCTACTTATAAAAACTTCGAATAGCTTAACCTAGCTCCCAACTTTGTTTTCTGTCTCTTTTGTGGAATCCTGTCTTCCCTTTCTCTCAAGTTAACACTTCTCTACTCTCCAGTGAGGGACTGGTCTCTCTGACAGCACGTGTAAAGTACACAAGATGAAGTCTCACCGTCTTAGCCTCTAGAGAACATTTCAGTTCTACTTCTCCCCAGACAGATTGGTTTGTCCCAAGACAGATAATTGAGAATAAACTGCTAAAAATATCGATTGATAATCAGGATATGAAATGTACAAAATATGAACATAGAAAACTTGGAAGTCATCAAAATGAAATGTAACACATAAAGATAGATATACTAGTTACTAGTGACCTTTGGTTGTAAAGGCCAAGAATAAAAATAATTCTATTCCTTTCTGATGCAATAGAATTATTAGCTCAGCAACCCTGAACTTACACTACTTCTGGATTCTCAGTTATGTGATCCAGTGAGTATTTTTATTATTTTAGCCACTTGGAATTAGATTTTTCCCATTTTCAAAGCTCAGAGTAACTAAATCAATGTATTCTTATAATAAAATTTCCTGGCTAATAGAGTACACATTAAAATTAAAAAAACTAGCTCTTACAAAGTTGCTTTCAAAACATGCAGTATTGATTCACACATCCCTATCTTCCTTTGAAATCTGTGCCTTCCTGATGGGTGGAAGCTAAGTCTCATTATTGTTTTGATTTACTTGTTACTAATTACTAGTGCGGTTAACTATAATTATTTGCATCAACTGGACATTTACATTTTCTTCTCCATGAAATCCTTTATATATACCATATATACTTGAGTGTAAGCTGAGTTTTTCAGCACATTTTTTATGCTGAAAAAACTCCCCAGTTTTATGTGGTAAAATTAGGTGCCTCGGCTTATACTCGAATACACACACACACACACACACACACAAATAGTTTTTATAATTTGTGTGTGTGTTTTCCTATTGATCAGCCAGAAAGCTATTTAAAAGTTTTGGGATATTAATTATTTACTTGTTAGGTGTTTTACAAATATTTTCTCCTGGTTTGCTTGCCCGGCGGGTTCTAGGCCTTACTCTGCTACTACCTTGATTTTGTGTATTTGTCATTTAACTTGCTTTCTAAGTAAATTTTCTCCAAATTTGTAAAACTTCAAAGGAATTCCATTTATTATCTTTTCTTTCATTGCTTTTGCATTTTGTTCACTGGTTCTCTGCCATTGACCACTTTGTCCAGGATTTAAAAAATTAATCCAGATATTATGCCATTCAATTGTTCACTCATATCAGGAAGTGTACAATCGCCACCCCAGTCAGTTTCAAAACACTATCTTCCTTCTCGTACTCCTTGATATTAGCTCCCCTGCTCTACCCCCAGGAACCCTTAATCTAGTGATTTTCTCTTCAGAGTCACCTATCCTGGGATTCATATACTGAAAAACAGAAACAGTCAAGGCTACCACCAATAACAAAACACAACAGAGATAGACCCCAGTTTGAAAACAAAACAAAACAGAAAATATTAAAAACCAGATAAAACTCAAAGTCTGTCAAAAGGAAGATCAAATAAAAAGGTTTTAACCATTCAGGATATAATTTTCATTTTAATCTACTATAGTCGCCTCTACAATATTCTCTGTCTGATAATCAGGCTATTCCCATCCCTCAATTATGGTCAGAGGGAAATCACCAGACACTTATTCACTGTGTAGATCCTACAAATGTATTTTGTCCATTGCCTTCTGCAAACAAGAATTTCACAGTTTAAGTTCTGATATAATTTCCTCTTTTGGATTTGGTCTGTATTACTTACAATCCTTTGAGCACACCTGTTGGTATACTTCTTCCATATAAGCTTAGTTGACATCTCACTTAGTTGGCTGCTTATTTGAAAACAAGCCTTATTGGAGAGCTGGGCACCATCTAATTTCTTCACCACATTTTGATTTAGCACCCATATTTTGTGTTTCTTTCTTGAGGGTGAGTATCGATCAGGGTCATCTAAGAACTACTTGTTCTTAGATTGGAGCTAGGATTACGTGTGAGCCCCAAGTCTATTCCCGTATCTATGTTTCTACATGTGTCTGGTTCACCTCATGTTAGAGAGCAAGATCGGTCATCTCCCTGGAGCATGAATTCCTTCTGTCGTTGATTTAGCCCATTGTAATGTATTTAAAACACAATTGAGAAACAGAGATTAAACAAGTGTAGGATAACTACAAGTTGCACTACATGGATTATTGACTCATACAGATTAAATCCTTACATGACTTCTTGTCCTGGCATTTTAAACCTTAAACATTTTTATCTATAGCCCTTATTTAAGTATTGTACCATAGTCAGTCCAATTAAGCGTTTTATTATTTTAGCTTTTTATCACTTGTTGGGTGTTTCCCCCCAGATATGTGTCAATTTAATCAATAACTTTCAAATTCATAGGCATATACCTTTATGATGCCCTGAATGGTTAGATTCTTGTACCTTAACTCTTTCAGTGCTTGCTTTTATTTCTGCTATGCTGATGAATAATTTGGGGGGACATTTTATTTTTGTCCTTCATGTTAAATGGCATGTGGACCCATGTCCCAGAAATCTAGGATTTAGTGAAGGATCCCGCTTTAAAAAGCAATGGATCAATCCAAAAGGAAGCGGGTCTTGAACAGTAAGTTTCAGACTTTTTTGAAGAACAAAGACTGCAAGTCTACAGACTTTGAAAAAGTCTGACTACATCATCCCACTCACATTGCATAAAGGCTGCAGCGCAGGAACAGCTCCAGCAATTTTGTTGGCATTCGCCCAAGTCTACTAGAGTACAAGATGACACATGCTGGTCTTAGTGGTTCTTGGAACACACCCTGCTGTCCCCTCAGTCCCTCCGAGGTGCATGTCAGTTCTTTTCCATTGGCAAAGCCAGGCCACACCGTCAGTTCCGTTTACAGGTGCCCTCAATGTGGCCTAAACGATACTATCCAGTGGCTTTGTTTATCGTTGTAGCTCCAGGGCAGTGAATGAGAACCCTGGGAAAGAGCCCCATATTGAGGATTGGGGATTGTGGGTTCTAGGACTCATTATGCCACTAACTTATAATGATCTGTGTGTTTGGCAAATATGGAGCCAAATAACCTTCAGTGCTCTATGGTCACCTCTGCTTTATCGGTTCCTATTGCTTATCTGGTCACATAAAAATAATGTTCTGAAGATTGTGCATCTGTGAACACATTGGTTCTAGCATTCTAGTGGTGCTGAGGGATTAAGCACTTTCCTCCAACCTGTTTTTCATTTGATGTGTCCTGGACCTATTAGGGTCATGGGGTGTTAAGTGAGAAAACCAGTAGGACTTGTTGCCAAACAAGCTTGGATGATAATATCTAGCTGCCCCTGTTATGTGCCATTGAGCTGGCACCTCCTCATACCAACCGTATGTCCAGAGAGGGAAACACCGCGTGGTCCTGCATCATCCTGCCTTTTGTTGGAGCCCGTTGTGGTTGTCACTGTGTGAATCCAGCTCGTCTAGGGTTGTCCTCTTCTTGGCATACTTTGGTAACATAATGCCCCTTTTCCAGGGCTGGCCTCGCCTGCTAAAAGTATAGGTGAGGAGATGTCTCACCATTCTCCCTTCCAAAGAACATCTGGACTGTATTTCTTCCAAGACAGATTTATCCATCCTTCTGGCAGCCCCCAAATGCACCAATTCAGGGAAGGGGGAAGAAATGGGGAGCTGATCTCAGGGCCTCAAGTGGGAAGAGAATGCTTTGAAAACGATGATGGCGGCATATGTGCAAATCTCTTTGACACGCTGGATGAATGCATGGATTGTGATAAGAGATGTAAGAGCTCCCCATAAAAGTATTTATAAACAAACAAACAAAAAAACCCCAAATGCACCAATTCTCCTGCAGGTTTCCTTATTCATTGCCTGGATTTTAAATACAGAGGAGGTGATGGAAAATACCCTCATTTTCATCAGGCATGCCTTACTTCTCAAAGTGACCTATTTTCTCCTTGACACTTTAAAGTGGTCCTCATGCAGCAGAATTTGCCCAGTGCAACACATTATTTAATTTCTGAAAGCTGCCTCACTTGGTGTTGACTGTGAATCCAAATAAAATGACGTCCTTGGCAACTTAAGCGTTTTTCTCAGTTTATCAGTTTGGCTCTGTTTTGAGGACTTTTATTTCCTTTACGTTACTCTGTGATCCACACTGAAGGCTGTTGTCCTTTAAGAGTTCTTATAACAGATGTTATAACAATCCACAATTCGGTTAGATCAAGCATAATTGTGCAATTGCTGCCACCATCATTTTCAAAACATTTTCTTTCTGCTTGAACTCTTTCATAGCAGCTCTCCTCTATCCCCTCCTCCCCCACCCCTCCAGGAACCCTTATTCTAATATTATAAGTATTTATTGTTATTATTTGCCATATCTTACACCATCCACTGAATCCGTTCCCCATAGAATTCTGTTACTCGTTCCCCTCGAGTGGAGTTATGCAGTCTTTGCTATCGGTTCCCTCTTCCCTTTGATTTTCATCAGCAAGTGCTTCAAGCCCTCTTGGCTTTCAGCAAGCAAGGTTGTGTCATCTGCACAGCACAGGTTGTAAATAAGTTGCTCTCTAATCCTTCTGCCACATTCTCCTTTACGTAGTCCAGCTTTTTAGAGTATTTTCTCAGCATGCAGATTGAATAAATATCGTAAAAGAAAGCAACCCCGACACACATCTTCTCTAATTTAAAAACATACAGTGTCCTCTTGTTGTGTTTGGACAACTCCCTACTGGTCTATGTGTAGGTTCAGGATGGTCACAATTAAGCATTCTGGAATTCACATTCAGCAATGATATACCTTGTTCCAGGTCCTCTTCTAAGTCTAACTTGAAGTGTTGATAGCTCCCTGGTGATGTTATGCTGGAATGGTTTTTGAATTATCTTCAGGAAACTTTTACTTGCATGTGATATAACTAATATTGTTTGATATTTTCGCAGTTTGTTCAGTAATCTTTCCTTGCAATGGGCACAAATATGGATCTTTTTCAGTTAGTTGGCCAGGTAGCTGTCTTCCAAATTTCTTTTTCTGGGGGGCATGGTTTAGTGTGTGTTCCAGCACTGTATCAGTTTGTTAAGATGTACCAATTGGCGTCCCATCAATTCCTGGGTCTTGGTTTATGCTGGTGCCCTTAGTGGGCTGGGATTTCTTTCTTTAATACAACCCATTCTTGATGTTATGCTTGACAACAGTTTAGAGCTTAGACATTAGAACCTGGTCTAAGTGAGTTCTTAAGGTAACCACTCCAATGCCCAAGATTTTTGGCCTAATGAACATTTGCCTGAATTCAATTCAAGCTGCACTTAATGGTGTGCATACTTGTCATTGTTCTGTATGGCAGTTTGACATGAATCAAAAGAAGCTCACCAAATGAAATATAATCTGCATGTGCTCACATAGTAAAACCACATTTATTTAACAAGTAGCATCAATATCGATCATTTTTTTCTAGTTCCATGACATTGTCATATAAACCTTATCCCTACTACATTCCAGACGAAAGTTCTGGGTCCATTTCATCAATAAATGTTTTTTTTTCTGTCCTCCAATTATCAGCCTAAACAATTTAGTTCTCCTCAGTCACCATCACTCTTATTCCCACTAATTTCTCTGAAGCACATACTCACTGGCGTTTAAACGGAGCTATCAGAATGGATGGCGAGTGCCGAGAATTCTGGTTAAGTATTGGGTTCGATAAGTGGGAAGCAACAGGACCAGGTGAAATGACGCTGAGGTTAAAGAGGACGGCTGCCACTGTACTCCGTGAAACTCCCTGCCATGGATCGAGTCGATGCCAAACGATAGCAGCTCTCTAGGACAGGGTAAAATTGCCCCTGTGAGTTTCCAAGACTAACTATTTACAGGAGTAGAAAGCCCTGTCTTTCTCCCCTGGAGTGTCAGGTGGTTCCAAACTGCTGACCTTGCAGACAGCAGCTGAACGTGTAGCCACCACCCTACCAGGGTTCCCACTACAATACATAGTATTTGTCTGGACACAGAAACGTTTAGGTATAACTCGTGGTTTTTAAATGAATGAACATATACTTCTCAGGGTTAAGTTCTTTGAATATCTCTGAATGCCTTCTCCCCTTAGTCAACCTCAGTGGTCCAAGCACCTGCCAGACTAGACTCAGAGCTTTGAGCATCTGTTACGTGGAGCGGGAGGTCTCTCTTGAGACAGACCTGCTACTTCTAAAGATACTCCCTTCAATCTCTTAGATCCTTTGGTCTGCCTCTCTTCCCTCCTTGGAGTTGCTACTGTCTGAGGTCCCGCAGCACTTCCTTCTCACACGGAACAAACCACTTATATCCAGTTACCTCGGTTTGTCATTTCTGGTGTGCTTTTTACTTTCCAAACTGGAGCCTGACTGAAACAGACACCTGTGGAGTGAAGGGGGCAGGTGATGGGGTCTTTGGGATGCTATTGTGTGATGAGCACCACACAAAAGAGGACACATTGAATGGCACTTAATTAAAGGGTGCTACACCTGGGCAAAGGGGATTCCAGTGAGGTGACCGGGCTGAGCATAGTCTGCATACGTGTGTCTGAATTCATGATCACACTCTCTTCCAGGCTAACAGATAAACTGGGAGCCAAAATGTGGGGTGGGGGCTCTGACAGGAAAGAAATACACGCCTTCATCTGCAAAACATTCAAAAAGCCTAGAATGAAAGCTCAAGCAGCGCTAGAAAGAGGCTCATGAATGAGCATGCCTAGAAGCCTGTCTAGTGCTTCGTGCTTCGTGTTCTATCTGGACAGGCAAACAGGAGCTTTTCAGCGCTCCCAGTCTCCCTCCATAAATTCCCTTCATTCATCGGTATAAACTAACTTGCTGCCTCTAGCAAGTTTTCATACAAGGTTAGAACAGACAGAATGAAAGTGTAACAAAACTGATATCGAAAAAGACAAAAACACCCACTAACATTTATTGACTGCTACCATGGGAACTAGTCTGTCTTGGAAGACAGCCAGCCAGAACGCCCCTTAGAAGGCAGGATGGTGAATTTGTCTTATGCACTTTGGAACATATGATCAGAAGGGACCAGTCCTTTGAAAAGAACATCTTGGTAGACTCAGTGAAATAGAGACAGATTAATACAATAGCTTCAATCATGGGCTCAAACGTAGCAACGTAGCAATGATTGCAAGGATGTGGCGGGACCGGTGGTACTGTGTTCTATTTTACTTAAAGTCTCTGTGAGTCAGGACCATCTCCATGGCAACCACCACCACCACCACCACCACCACCACCACCACCACCACCACCACCACCACGTGTCTCCATTGCCAGAGCAGAGGGTAGAGACTGTGCTGGGATCTGGAACTTAATTTTTGTAGAAATCTTTAATACTTCTTGATATACGTAGACAATTCTGGAGCCCACTGAATTTAGGGAACCAGGCTTGTCTCAGTTATGAATATGCTGTTTAGTCCCAAGTGGTAGCTCTAACAGATGATGCAGATGTGCAAAGAATGTTCTGTGCAGGGTATTTTTCATCCTAACCCTCTATACAGGCGTGGCCTTGGGTCTCAGGAAATACCAGACAGCCCATGGATAATTCAGTTTCCATGGATAATTTCGTCCCTCCTTAGCCTGCCTGGAAAGGATTAGGTTTCCAGTGTCAGGACATTTAGTTCCTGTCATAAGGGGCCTGGCATTCTCCGCCCTCACGCTAGAGGGCCAGAGGAGGATGACTGAGCCCCGGGAAAGTCCCGCAGCCTCCCCTTTCTGATACACCCAGGGCCTGTCATTATCTCTATTTCCCATGGTTGACTGTGGAGTGGGGCCCCACCCTATTTCGTAGGGAGCCTTGATAGGTCATATTTATGCTGATGCCTGACGGGCCCTAAGCACTGGAGGAACTAGCTTTCTTTCATGTCACATGGTAGTCACACCCCACCCAGGAAGCTCGAGCCTCCTTGTGCTCTCCACATAGATGACCTAGACCTGTCAGAGCCTGTCAAGATCTTAGAAAGTGCCGGAGCAGCAGTTCACTCAGTTGGTCTTTGGATAGAAGTTCTTCCTCGTCAGGTGCACTCGATAGCGGGAAAGCCCTCAGATTAAGGAAGTGTCCTTTCTCCTAACTGCACATTGGGACTCAACTATGGGATGAAACCAAGCTGAGTCAGTGCTTTGTAGGATTAGCTGCTTCTCCAGGGCAAGTTGGTCGGATTCTGGAAGAATGGCTGGCACAAGACCCTCTCCTGCTTCCAGGTGGAAGTAGCTGTTAGCAGAGGGAGGATCTCTGGGAGGAGGAGATACGGGTAGCTGAAGGTTAGGGGTATTCAGGGTAAAAAGTTATGTGCAACCCTGGAAATTCTCAGGAGATAGTGTTTTTAGATGGATTCCTGGGTGAAGGTAAATGCTATCTGATCTCTCTTTGAAACTGCTTGAGGGTATGTCCCTCAAGGGTAGCTCCAATCTTCTGACAAGGACTTTGTGCCAAGCCTGGCTTTCCATCAACCTGTCAGAAAGAGGAGCCGCAGGGACCATCCCCCGAGGTCTCGGACATGTCTTTTGAAACTCTTCTCTTCTATCTCTGTCTTCACAGGTGCAGAGACAATCCCGTTATGGAAGGCATTGGAGGACACCCACATCAAGATGGTAAAGTTGAGATGGGACTTTGGAGATCCAAGATGCCTGTACCCCCAGGTACCTCCTCTAGACACTCCAAAATGGATGATTCAGCCAAGAAGGAGGGTAAGGGAAAGTCAAAACATATTGCTACTAAGTTTCCAGTTCATACATGTCTGGATTTATTTCAAAAAGAGCATGTTACACGTGCCTGTGAGATTGACGGATGGTTTCAGACCAGTCCTCTCTGTAATACATTGGTCTTCATTTCTTTAGGGTGGCTGTATGGAAAGCCCCAGTCAAAACACTAGGTTCTGAGGGGCTCTGCTGGGCCAGTTACACCCAAGGCAGAGAGGTCAGCTCAGAAGGTTTTGAGGAACTGGTGGTTTTTTTTTGTTTATTTTTAATCACAAAGGAGTAGTCTTGGTAGATTTTTTATTTTTATTTTTTGGTGAAGGAACTGGGATGATCACAGGGGGTTACTAAGAAGCAATTTTGAGAAAAAAGGAATATTTCCTCGGTAGAAAAAAAGCCAGGAAAATTGTGCTGAGGAATTTCCCTCATGATGGCAATGAACTTGCTCATCAATGAGGGTAGCAAGCTCTGTCATATGAGAATTGCATCCGGAAAGCTGACCCTACCCAGCTTCAGTTCAAATCTTGCCCCTTAGACTTTTAGTTCCCCAACCTCAAATGACATTGGACAGGATGGAAATCCCTGCTGTTGTTGGTCATGTAAGATGCCATCAAGCTGGCTCTAAGTCCTAGTGAGGCTGTGCTCAACCGCCCAGTGCCGCGCTAGCCTGCGATTGTGGGTACGCTTGAGCAACCGTGTTAATCCACCTTATCGAGCATCTTTATCTTTTTTCCTCCCCTTTCCTTTACCAAGCATGGTACCCTTGTCCAGGCATGGGTCTCTCCTTCTATGTCCAAAGTATGTGAGGTGAAGCCTTGCCTTCCTTGCATCTAAGGAGTATTCGGACTGAGATCCCTGGAGGACACTAGCACATTCTCAGGAGATCTCAACGGAGAGATCGGAAGAAAAACAATTTCAAGCCTCAATCTGAAATCTTGAAGGATTAAATGGGCAAAATATTTAAGGATGCATCAAAAGAAAACAGAAAGAATACACAATCATTGTACCAAACAGAATTGGATGATGTTCAAGCATTTGAAGCAGTAGCATTAGATCAAGGACCGATGATATTAAACAAAGAAGCCCAAGCTACACTGAAGACACTGATTAAATCAAACTTCAGTTGAAGTAACAGCTGAAAAGTTTCAGGAAACGGATGTAGTTCAAGGAGTAGTCACTGATCTGTGCCAACAACTTTGGAAGACAGCTACCAGGTCCATATTGGTATCCATTCCAGAGAAAGATGGCCCAACAATATTCAGAAATTTTGTAACAAAACCATGAATATCACTTGCAAGTAACATTTGCATAATTAAAAATGCGAAACAGGGAGGGTAGAGGGAGAGTGGGTTGGAAAGAGGGAACTGGTTACAAGGAACTATATGTGACCTCCTCCCTGAGGGACGGGCAACAGAAAAGTGGGTGAAGGGAGACGTCGGACAGGGCAAGATATGACAAAATA